CCGAGGTCGTTTTAGTTTTTCCATTCAAACCTTTGAATGAAAAAAACTTAGCATTTTTATCGATATTAATTTTTGACCGACAATATTTATTTGAATTCTACAGTTTGTTTAACTAAGAAAATTTTCACTAATCATTACTAATATTTGTAAAAATGAAATATCATTGTATACTTTATCATTTCCTCAATTGAGCAACTCATAACATGGAACTATTGTTGATGTCCGAGTCCAAAAGGCTTACCTTTTCTATTATTCGCTCAAAACACGTCCTGAATGAGTTTTAAGCGAGTTGGATTCAAACTACAAAGAGCATACTTTAATGAAGAATATTGGAAAAATATACCTTGGAATTATTATAACTAAACATAAAAATATCTTATTATTTACAACAATATAACAACTTCACAGATATTACGTAAGTAATAATAATTGAGAGATTATCTTGCAAGTCATACAAAAATAATTAATATAAGACTACTGGACCAATAGTAATCATTCATTATTAGTGGCTCCTCACAAGCGGAATAATCCTTCAACAATAGCAATCTCAAACTTAAAACTATCACGAACTCAGTGAAACATCAGTTATTATCTCGGCCTGGTATTATCATCACAGTAAAATTGCATATAATTGGTGCTACTTAATAATGGCGCCCGATTCGTGTTAACAAAGGAAAACTTATTTTTCTCATTTTTGTTTGATCTAACTTCACTTACAGGTAAACCGTGAAGTTTCAGTGAATTGTTATTATTTTACTTTTAAGTACAGAACAATGAGAAAGCCTTCACCTTATTTTGTGCAAAAACGCAATCCATTAATATAATTATACAGTATTTGTAATTACAGAGGTTGTAGTTCATCGGATAGTCGACTAAAAGATTATTATGATTTTCCTCCCTACTCCGGATGATCTGTACCGAGCAGTAGGGGGGTGGAGGGCATTGATAGGCTGATAATGATGCTATAATAAAAAAATATATAGTAGTTCATCGCATAATCGACTAAAAGCTTATTATGAATTTCCTCCCTGCTCCGGAAGATCTGTACCGAGCAGTGGGGGGGGGGCATTGATAGGCTAATAAAAAATTATCCCTGACGTCACCAATAATCGTTTTCATTTCCTTGCATCCTATATAGAGAGAGTAAGACAGGCGATGGTAACGGTAAATATTACGCGAAATATTTTTAAATTAATCATTCTCAAAAATATTATTTATAAACTTTCGTTGAATAAAATGAATCTATATATTTTATTTTTATATACACCATCATAATTGATTACCTCATATTATCGAATTTCCGCAAACAAGTTAGTAGTCAGGTACTACAAGAAATAATATACAAACCTGTCTTTCTTAGCCGTTTATTGTGTTACAACTAATAGTTTATAAATTAAATTAAATATTAGGAATATAAACAAAAACTGTGGCAAAATTTAAGAGAACTCTTGCAACAGCAGCATTTTTACCAATAGCCGACTCATCCATACTTACAGCTTCCCATCACGTCGGTGTCACAGATTTTATTATTCTGAGAATTAGAAGAGGAAAAATAAAAATGTCACGGCTCATACGCCTTCTAAGCGAATCAAAAAGAAACATAAATATTACTCCAGCGAATAGGAATAAATATATTCTTAACTATATTTCAGGTTCGTTTTACCTGAGCAGGATTTATTTCTTAAGCATAAATAAATACTCTTCAGAGTTTTTCATATAGAATAATCGTGAGTTAATGTTATATAAACTCTCTGATTTCTGTATTTACAAACTCAGTTAGTCAAATCGTTTGAACGCGTCAGTAATAAAATGTCAAAGAAGATTCCATTTTCTTTATGATAAAGCTTTGTCAAATTGAAAAGCATAATACCACAGCCTATATAATTTTCACTACTTTCTTGTGTTTGACATGTGCGTTAGAAAGTGTCAACTGTCCGAAATAATTGACATCAATAATGAGTGAACAATCTGCATCGCACTCGGCGGCCTCGTGTGTCTGTTCTGTACAGTTTGATTGATGCAACATATTGTTTGTGATCGCTCTCGCAATACACTGAACTGACAATGCTCTCATTCGTAAAGTTGTAAAGGCTACTATAACTGAACTAAATTTAAGAGTGCATTAATTTGAATTGATTGTGAGCCAACATTGGGCTTCGCCAAAAAATAATTTTCACATAAACTGCCTGCTAATTTTGACTTGTTATCTCTTTACTTTTGGGAGCAACTTATAATGCGACCAGCTTTAATGAATTAGTGGTGGTATATTATTTAATTCCACATAAACCAAATCCTCAATATTATTATTATAAAAAAATATTAATTAGAGACCCCACTCACTAGATATAAAGGAAGCTATTATTAAAACATTTACTGAAATATAAAATTTCAAGCATTTTTAATTGATCATCTAATTTCCGACCGAATTATTAATAAGCAAAATGTATAATAAATGCATGTTAACTATGTCAGTTATTAGGTACTGTTCTACGGAAAAATACAAATAAATACCTATATAAAGTTGCAACTATTGAATTTTTAGAGAAATTCTCTCGCAAATAGTGTAACGTATGCGTAAACAAGTGTACCAAGCCAAGAATACTAATCTACTTATTGCAGACTATCGTGACCAAATGCTATGCAAATATTATGAGCTGATGGTCCATAAAAGTTGTAGAACTCGTACTTTTCAATTATGTTAACGTTATATTTTAGATTCAGTATTTACTTTATTCGGTAGTCTTGATAAAACTTTTTTATTTTTTTCTTTAACAGAGCAAACGTTTAAAAGGGTTGTTCCGTGTTCATTCTATGACGTCTCATTCCATTACTTCGCTCACTCATAATATCAAACTGTATTCCTAACTCAACCTATGAATATTTTTCTTAATTCCTAAACGCGTATTCCTCCCTCATCCTGAAGCATATATAACTAAAAAAATATGGACAGCACAAAACATTTCATATTTTTTCCTAATCTGGAAAAAATATGAAATGAAAGATAATATTTTTGTTGAGACCGTACACAGAATTCTTCCATTTTTAGGTGATTTTTAAATATAGGAATAGTGAGGGAATGAATAAGGAATTTAAAATGATATATATTGTTGCAGGTTGAGTGAAGAACATAAATAGGATGAGTAAGGAAAATGTAATGAGTAGGATGATACGTCATAGAATGAATACGGAACAACCCGTTTAAAGGATTATCTAATTTCTAATTCTAGTTTACAACAAGCTAACATTATTTTCCCATATTTAGAAACCCAAGATAATAATTCCCTTTACAATTGTTGAATTAATAAGTTCTAATTTTTACGACATTGATTATTTTAGAAGAGAAAAGATGCTTCGCCACAGTCTACTAAAATTGTCCTTAGTAAAAGGAGGCGACAATACATATTATGATTCATTGTTCGCACGGACTCATTGTTTCGGCATCTCTACAACAAATCTGACTCTTAACGAGATTCTAAATGGCCATTCGATGAACATTATTGGTCACATCAGAACTAACATTAGAAGTTTCGAATAATGTCATTAATTTATTCTCGATGGAATAATTGAAGTTATCTTAACCCTTACTAGATACTGATGTGTATTATTAACATACTTAAAGACATTTCAGTATTTTTCATTCCGTATAAATTTTTAGAAACCTGGTTCTCTTTTTAAAATGGTAGCTGAATGAATGAATAAATATTTTTATTGTACACCATAATTAAATAAATAGGACCATCAATACAATTTAGTATTACAATCGGCGGCCTTATTGCTAAAAAGCAATTTCTTCCAGGCAATCTGGTTAGACTGGACTATTGCTTAAGAAGTTAGATTCAAAGTTTTCATCGAAATGTTAATACTATTGCCGTGAGGTGTCTGTCTCGTGGTAGGGACATCTTCAGTCTCGTTCGAGCATTGAATACTGAGTAGTATTCATTCGTGAACGTTGACTCACAGAGAACTCGCTTTCTGCGCCACCGAGAACGATAACCTATCCTTTACATCACACACATTTATTATTATTCCTGTGAACTACTCCGAAGACAATGATCCTTCTATTTTTAAATATATAACTCGTGATTTTACGCGTATATGTTCCCATAAGATGTATGTAATGAATCGCATATGTTCTCATTCGAATTTTTGCGATATATCATATAAGTTTTACATAATATTATATGCTGAAGTATAGAAACAACATTCCAGAGTCATTAATAAAGTGTCACATACTATAATCAAATGTAAAGCACTGAGTCAAATTGAAAAGATCTACAAATTATCTTCCCTCCGTGCCAACTGATTTCAATTTCAGATATCTTTCGCGTTGGGACAGTTCAGACTGTAGACTATGCCTTATATAATACTTAATTTAATGGAAGCCTTACACAGAGAAAGATTACAGCGGGCTGCTTAAAAAAGCATTTTTTCACTTAAAGATGCAGAGGTTCTACTTACGGTATTGACTCAATGTGCGGAAAGTAATATAGACCAAACAAGCCAATGTCACACGTTAATTAATTGGAAAAATATTCTGTAGCGAACTGTTAGTTAAAACTGCTTAAATTTAACTATTGTGGTAGCGGTCGCCATGTTTACTTTATTTATACGATTTGAAAAAAAAGGAAGCGCACTTTTAAATGTAGAATGGTATGGCAATTTGTCACTACTTGAGGCGAGAAGTGACGAAGACTAGAAAAGCCATTTTGTGGGTACAGTTATGAGTTATGATAACATCTTATTTGCTAAACGTAGCTTAAAATGTCACTCTAGAATTTTACTAATAAATAAAGAATTATTATTATTACTCAGCCCATGTGGGATAAACGCGGGGCAAAAATATGTATAAATTCGAATCTTCTATTGTTAAAATATATTTCAGGTATCAAACGTTGTATAGTTGTTTATATCATACAAAGGCCACGCAAGTCTGTTAGTGAACCACTTCCTGCAGGTCAAGGAAATATTATTGAGACTAATTTTGAATATTTTATTCGCAGATGGTACTTCCGTAAAATAAAACGAATCGAGGCAGAGAAGAAACTACTTCTTCCAGAGAACGAACATGGCGCATTCCTCATCAGAGACTCGGAGAGCCGTCACAACGACTTCTCATTATCTGGTAAGCGCGTATAGATGTATTATTATTAGTAGTAATATTAATAACAACAATTAAGAAACAAACTTATAACGTAAAATTAAAGTCAATTTTACTGCGCATATTTGAGAACCATGATGTGCTCTCAGTTCGACATGCACTCGCCGTGTTAAACTATCTTATTACAAACACAGATTGTTGATCCTGCTGCAAAACCGGTTCCAGTTTTTCTAAACATAAATTGTGCAACGCGTGGGAACGCATACGCGTATAACTTTTATATTTATTTCTAATTACTATTCTCGATCGAACATATGTACCGTTAATTCTATTTATACAAATTGAAATGCCTGATGTTAATTAATTATGTGCATAAACACGTCACGTCACAGACAAGACTAGTATAGACTGGAGACACAATATAGGTACCTTCTAGGCACTCTAACAATTACAGCTGTTATAAACTTTTGTACAGTAGCTAGGTTTAATTTCATTGTTTAACAGTATACTTCATTGAAAAACACCGGCTTACACCAGAAAAATCTGTTGTGAATTCTCAGTTAAAATTTTAATGTCAATTGGATAAAGTAAAGCGTATGTTTGAAATAAATGAAACTACTTTTAAATGGTTTCATAGCGTTTGTATTTTTCTTTTATTCAGTTTTCGGACCCTTTTCAGGTTCTGTGTACACAAAAGACTAAAGTGTTGATTGTCTTTTTAATAAAGAGTTTAGCTACTTTCAAAACATTACTATTGTACACATTCACAATACAAGAAATATATATTTTATGGAAACGTTTACATTTATTAATTTATTTTACAATACAACTGACTTATTTAGTTACGGTATGGTACAGTTATACTTATATTACGGCTTGGAATCCAGTAATTATTCAAATAAAATCTCAATACAGATCAAACATTGCAAAATCAAAAGATACAGTTAGTTCATTCTGCAAATATGAAATCAAAGGAAAAAATTCATTTTTCTTGGTGACGTTTGTTTCGCCAGTTCTTCTCAGACAAGACTCCCAAATTTGAAACTGGTGGTAGTTAACGGTAGCCTAGAGTAAATAAATAAGTCAAATATATTTAAAAAATAATTTAATGTAATAAATCTTAACGTTTCAATAAAATATAAAGCTTTCGTATTGTAAATGTGTCCAATAGTACTGTTTTGAAAGTATACTCTTAATTAAAAAGATAATCAACACCTTAATCCTATGTGGACAAGGAATCTGAATAGGGTTCGAAACGTAAATAAAAGAAAAATACAAACGCGATGAAACCGTTTAAAAGTTGTTTCATTTATGGATAGCGCGTGTAAAAATATAAGAAATCGGTAAGTTTGAAATTCTAACCTACTAATCTAAGAGGCATAATATGAAGAATATGGAAAAGCACTACTGATATGAAAAAAGATATATGAAGGATATATACAAAATGGCCCAGAATTTTTAACTGAAATGTCTTTAAATGGTAGTCTTATATCCTGTTTTAAATATAGAATCTCTTGCTTTAATTGTATTATGTAACTCATCACTTTTATTGTAATTGTCGGAAAGTACATGATAATTTTAGTCAACATATGGATTTCGTGGATCTGATTCTGTTAACCTTAAAGTTAGTATACCATTAACAACAACAAAAGAAAAAGCGAACCTATTTGAAGAAGAAAGTCGACCTAGTATCAATGTCGAAATTGTATGTATTTTGGTTTTTCGCGACACCATCTCGACTCAGCACAATTGCGCAAGGCCTGCTTACGTTTTGCTCCCTTCCATTATTCGCATCGAGAGAACAACAATAGGTGCACACTGTTCCAAATTTTCTTTCCAATTTCTTAAAAGAAGTCATTGATAACTAGGTTCATTGAAAATTACAATTATTCTTAACATTTGATACGTTTAATGGGTCCGTGAAACAGTTGTTTTATTTTTAAGGATAGAAGTATTTTAATTTTAATACGCATAAAAAGTATTGATTACTTATGCTTTTACTTTTATCAAAGCCCTTGGGCTCTCATTTTATAATCTTATAATTATGAGTAAGATCAAGATAGCCTTTTTATTGGTGTTTGATTTTCCTTTCCATTACAAAACTGTTGTTGCTATTAAGTATAAAGTATAATATTTCAATTTTATTGCGAATTCTAAATGTAATAAGAATTCTTACTACATCGTTGGATTTGCATTGCGTAACTAGAGCAACGCATATATTCTTTATCGTATCTTTTATTCTGTATTCCGTAATATCAACAATGGATAATAGTCTATGACAGACTGACATCTTTTAATTTTAAATAGATAGTGAATATTCAAAAAGATCAAAGAAGGTTGAATGTATTTATTCTTTATTGCGTAATATATAACACAAAACAACGGACTTAAGGCCTAACGCAGTCTCTACCAGTGAACCCAACGAACGGATGTTGGATTTGATTGCAAGGCGATGATTATAAGTTAAATCCGTTTCATCACTCTTTGAATAAAGAAGTGATTAAGATTTCTGATAAAATGAATTGGTAGAGTAGTTAAAATTATTAGTGTTTCACAATTATGGTGAGAGAAATCCATTACATTTTGTGTATCTAAAAGGACGTTATTCCAAGCCATCGGTCGTATTATTAAAATGATGCTATCGATCGATTAATTGCTAAAGATATATAGTTAATAATTATTATCAGTGTAAAAATCCTCATAATTACTATCACTGTATGAGAATGGCCATTTTCAATTATAACTGACTAAGTCGAATCTACTATAATTTCGAGACTACTCATATCTCCAGAAATTAATTACTTAGCTCATGATATATTAATGTTCTTATAACTACTAATTGGCGTTTGGGACTCTTGACGTGCGATACTAGCGCCAATTGCGTTATTGAATGAACTAAATGATGTTGCTGTAAATCCGTACTCCTGACGCTATTTTGGCACAGTTGAGTTTAAATTGCATTGATATCAAATAAGGAACTTTTTTAGAATTGTTGTGATTTTTACTGTTAAAAACTATTTGAAATATATGTAAATTAAAATAATGGCACGTTTAGCAGTAACTATTATTATTTTTCCAAATATCGGAATATACGATCTATAAATTAGGGAAAACAAGCACCGGCTGGTTCGATTCATGAACTTACAGTATTATAAAATGTACAGTTATCTTATTATTTTTTTAATTCTTTTCTTTTAATTACATTATAGTAAATATTTATATTGGCCAATACAAAAATCTATTTATTTAATTCAGGGCTATTATACTAGCGATTAACTATGTTTTCATAAACATTAAATTAAAAATAAATTCCATTTGTTTTGTCGGCGATCGTAACTTTTTTTGTCTATGTCAAACATATTATCGTGATACATCCAACAAAGAGTATTTTTTAACGATTTATTGTTAAAAATGAAAGAAAATTGTTTATTTATATTAGATAAATTTAGTATTGCGTTTTTTTTCAATTTACAATATAATTTTTGGTGAAATACTGTAGTTTTCTTTTAACATTAACATAATCGATAAATGATGAATATAAGTGACATGATTTTTACTATTACAGCGACCGTCGGCAACTAACTTCATGTATAAGGTCTCAATCATCAATTCAATTGCAATACTCAAGAATTGTACTTCAATAGTAGGTACTTACTTAGTTTTTACGAAAATTGAGATCTTTATTGGATTGATTTGAAATTGAGATTGCCATTGCGTTCAAGAGTAAGCATGCTGTTTTCTAAAATCATATATTGTTGCAGAAATGCAATAAAATGTTACCTTATTTAAAATTGCAAAAGCCATATTGCGCAAGCCAATCTGAAATGTTAACAAAACGAGTCTATGCATTTTCAATGGACTAACCTTGAAATAACCCACTTATTTATCAAAGAGGAAATTGACATCGGCACAGAGAGTTAATCATAAACGAATTAAAAAATAAAAAATATTTGATTTTTTGTTTGTTTGTAATTGAAAGTTATTACATTTAAAAAGTTCTGAACCAATTCTTAAAATTCATTCACTAACACTTTACATTATTTTATGATTTTCCCGCAATTAGCCCTGCGTAAAATATAGTCTATACCATTCTCGTATAATGTGGTTTCCCGTAGATTAAAGAATTTTTTAATCCGTCCAATAGTTTCGGAGCCTCTTCAATGCAAACAAAGAAAGCATTCCTATTTATAAAATTAGTATAGCTAACATGGCACCAAGTTCGCGGGGTCGAAGGTATAATAGAAGACGTAAAGTACAACTTACAAGTAAATATCGAAAGTTAATTTCAAAACGAACACTCGTTATAGTCAAGTTTTTACGACTAATCGTAATTATAACTTGTTTGTTCTGCCGTTTCACTATTTTATAGTATTAACCAGTTAATTTTTAATGTCATGTTTCGTTTCCTTATTATAATCAAATTATCGGCGATACACACACTACACTACAAACAAAACATATAATGCGTAGCGATATAGTTTATTATTATCATACTTATAACTGTTATGTTGTTTTCTTGTCTTATTATCTATTACCAATTTGTTGTTATATATATTAATAAACGTGAAGGTGAAAACGTCCTTCTGTGTTTTAAGAAAGTGCGTTGACAAGGCACTTATTATGATTCACTGCACTGACAAGTTGCCTTCAAGGTCCTCTATCTAAATATTGCTCTATGAAAAAGTAGACCTCTAACAGACAGTTATAATATTATGACATCATTTCAAATTCACTGTATTGATAAGGTGGTAACCCCACGGTAGGGTTACCACTTTAAACAATTTTGATAGTTATTTCTATTAAGCAGAAAAGTTTAACTTCAAGTGATTTATTTGAGATATGATATGCTTCATGTACGGTTGCATTCTCAGTTTTTGCTTATTTTTTTAGTTGTGTAATGATTAATTTTATTTTTTACCTACAGAAAATTACATTGAAATAGTTTCCTCATGGTTTTAGAAAATATTAATCTTACTTTCAAGAAAAAAAGAGATAACGGTAAATGTCTATTTATTTGCTCCTTCCAACGAGATGTATGCTTTTGTTGGAGGGGTTTCGACCTTCCAATTTCCAAAATCCAGATTCAAATACGCGGATTATATAATCACAAAAATGAACTTTATATATAAACACAAGATCTGTTATTTTGCAGATTCTATGTTTCTGATTTTTGTTTTTTCTTTTATATTAAAATTTGTAATGCTACTGCAAGGCAAAACTATCACAAGTCATAAAAAACCATATAAATACAACGGCGTTTAAAATTTCCAATTCAACCATTATTACAAATAACGTTGTTATATAATAAAAACCAGATTGTCAATCAGTTGGTGCGATGCTAGATTAGACTACTTGGAATACTTTGCTAAAAACGTTCATTAAAATACTTCCACAGATTTCGATCAGGTCTCACGCATTAGTTCCGGTTCTGTTTTTAAACACGACGTGTTCTGACATCCGCACAAGTGCTTCATAGTTTACACATCCGTCCTTGTTCATTCGCAGAAAAATTTGATGCTAATCTATATCTGAATATAATTTTAAGTGTTGAAAAGTGATATGTAAAATTGGAGATTTACTAGTTTTTTTTTTTTTGTTTCGACGGATGAATGTTTTGTGGTAATGGCCGATCCTTAGGACAACCAAGCATGGTTGTCCTAAGGATCGGCCATTTATTCATAACGATTGTAGTACCCACGCTACATCTGTCCAAATTAAAACAATATCATCATCAGTTTATTAATGTCACTGCTACTGGAACACAACTTTCCTATGGATGAAATCCAATAGGGAAAATGGGCCGTAACCAGTACTCCCATTACTGATTGGTGGGTGTTGACCACTGTAGACGCAACCGGGAACAACTGACTTAACGTGCCTTCCGAAGGAAGTTATGGAATCCAATATGCCCGGTACAAATTGGCGGGTTCTAACCACTGCTGATAAATAAAAACGACTATACGTGCCTTATGAACCAACGGTAAAAAACGGGATAACTTTTAGTCACTCGTCCTATCCTAATGCTTCGCCCGATGAGTTTTCCTTACGTTTTTACCAATGTCACGATTCATGAGGAAAATTTTCGCCTATTATCGTTATAGTGTGGGTTATGATTTTCTATAATAAAAAAGCCTAACAGATGGCAACCCTAATTATAGTTGTCTTAATTGGAAAAATATAATGATTAATAAAGATGTCGAAAAAAACATGCTAACTGGGAGCTTATTACGTTATTTGTTTACGGAAATTGCAAGCGTGCAAATCCGGAGCGGTACACTAGGTAGATATTTGAAACAGTTAACGTTTATTATTATGAAGTGAGACATAAAATGTTTGTTGGACACACTTGAGTTGATAGGAATAATTTTATTTTATATAGATGTTATTGAAAACGATGTTATATATGTTAATACGTTTCTCACTTCGCATTCATTATTTGCAATTTTTATTGGTATCCGAATTGTGTCCAATTGAAAACGTGCCACTTAACACATATTTGGTTTTATTCAGAAAGTATTGACCCCACAGTTTGTTATAACAGCCGCAACAGACGATATTGTAGATTTTAAAGAATTTTGTACCCTATTCAATAGGTAATCCATTAATTTTATTTTCTTGACGATTGCAACAGCATTTTGAATTGTATCACCTTAGTTACGTAGTTTTTACAGAATTGTCCAAACAAATGAAGTTTTTTAATTCATATGAAACTCGAAAACACTGTCAAACTATTTTTGTGATTATGAACAACTGCAGAAAAGGAATAACTAAAAACTTTTTTTACATTCATATCGTAATGTCATAATCATACATATACGTAAATACATAATTAAATAACCTTGCAAAATCAATCATAGTAGGACTTTACCACATTGATCAAGGCTTCAGTTTCGCAGTACAGTCGCTGGCGTGAAGAAATTAGATAAAGTTCAAAATTGTATCTTTTAATTATATTTGTATTTTTAAATGTTTCGAAAGTGTTTCTCTTCAATTTAAAAACATAATACTTTTCGTTGACAGTTCGTGATGGTGACACCGTGAAGCACTATCGTATCAGGCAGTTGGATGAAGGCGGGTTCTTCATCGCACGCCGCACCACCTTTCGCACTCTGCAAGAGTTAGTCGAGCACTACAGCAAGGATGCCGACGGCCTCTGCGTCTCGCTCAGCAAACCATGCGTACAGGTAAGTGTACATGGGTGGTCAAATTTAGAACCTTGTTGGAATTTCACCTTCTTGCTGATCTGGGTCATAATGACAATATATTATTGTAAATACAAGATGAAAGTCTCCGTGAAATGGTTGATTGTATATTTTTATAACCTCGATATAGGTATTAAAAGAAAAAGTTCGACTATGTATTAAAGTGCTGTATTATGAAATTATTCTAAATCTAGGGAAATAAAAAGACTTGGCGAGTGCTCTCTGATTGAATAAATTCAAGCAATTTTCTTTAAGACAAATATCAATATAGCATTGTGAATGCAAAATTAATACTGCAATAAATAGTATAATACTTCTTATTACTAATTATTCACATAAAGAGATTTTGTTTGTTTCTTTCTTTATTTTTGTTAATTAATATGAATAATTGTATGCACCTTAACGGGCCTTGTGAAAAATGCAGTACCGGGCATTATATAGGCAATCTGCAATCTGAATCTCACTCAATATAAAAACCACCAATTTATAAATGCGAACTATATGCAAAAAAAATATTAAAATGACTATATTTTAATATTTTTTTGCAAATGATTAAATTCATTCACCGGCCAACTAGAGAATGATGTCCTTGCATTTTTGATATGATACTTTAATTTACATTTGATATGATAAAATCATTTCATTTCAAGGTTTTTTTTATGCAATGGTTTTATTTGATATTTGTCAAAGTATTGAAAAAGCTCCAAGTTAAACAACGGGAGGCAGAATTTAATATAAATAAAATTAAAAAATAACATTTGTTAAAAACAATTGTTTCGACACTTTATTTTGAATGAATACTTCATCGTCTTACCGACTGCCTTTGCCTCGTTTTCTCTATGAGAACAATTGCAAGAACTGAACTGAATAATACTAAGAACTGACACAAACCACCTGAATACATCGTAAAGATATACCAGTTGCACAACGATCCTGTTCGAAGGTAACACGATAGTCGCGAGAGGGTTGCACCAGGCGTGTCATAACACCACCCATAAATAGCTTGTCCAATCCATTCTATCCAATCTAACATAAAATCGAAAATCTATAAAATTTTTCGACAGTAATGCATTACAAACTTAAAAAAAAATTATGCTCATACTGTCAGGTATATTTTCAACATACTCTTTCTTTTATACTGGCAATCGTCTTTTTATTACGATCAGAGAAATGTTATTATTCCTATATAATTATGTGAAGTATGTTTAAAATTTTAGTATTATGTATTTTCATTATGTTTTCACCAATAGTAGTAAATCATACAAAAGCTTACAAGTGATTTAATAAGGTTTTGTATATGAAAACTGTTACCTACCGGTAATCTGACTGCTAGTATTTATTGTTAAGTATAAAAGTAAATATGTAACGTCAAAAGTAAAGTTTTTGATATATTCACCAAGCCATCAAACCCTCGTGGAATTTACACGAAAACTAAGTTATCTTAGTGCAAACTAGAATCTATTATTTTTTTTTTTAATGAATAGGTATCTCTATTTTTCTAATTAGCAGGTCTATTTTCCTTGTTTTCTGATACATGGTCAATGCAACAATTTTTCAATAACACTATCCTGGTTTTGCGCGGATTTATGCTACTTCTATTTCCAAAAGTAGTTCTTTAACCCCTAATAATTTTATGTTAGACGCCAATGTTCTCCTATCTCCACAATATTTTTAATTTTCATTAAAAATTACCAGTGAATTAGAACTGCAATATCATTTAATTAAAATCCTTATTGTTACTAATAGTCAATTGTCGTGACGTTATTTAAATGTCAAGTTTAGAGATCACTGACAATGGAAGCGTAATGTCAAATATCTGTCGCGTCATCATAATAACAAAACACTCCAGCTGTTCTTGACCAGACCAGCCTTCGATCACCTAACATCTGATTGAAATGAGATAACGACCAATAGAGATCTTCAAGATTCATTTTGCTCGTGTCAAATCAAGGTCACGTGTTTGTTATAAACAGAAGGTTCGCATATTATTGTTACGACGGAGCATAAATTTCAAAATTCAATATGGGGACGACTATAAAATTTATGGTTTTCGACGCTGAGGCCTTTGTTCGGGCGCGAGATATATTGCGAGGCGTTGAACCGACACCGAAGATGCTTTAAATTCACAGGAGGTGTACTGTACAGGCGGTTCACCCTCCCTAGTTGTTTAGCCTAAGTTAATACTTATTTGGACAACTACCGGCAAATTTTACAACAACTTTGCAATATCTCAAAACATTATTGTTATTGCACATACTTGAATGTTTCAAAGAGCTCCTATGTCCACATTTACATCTATTAGAAATATATTTTAGTCATGATTGCAGAAATATCAACGTTTGTTATTGTGAAATTCACATAAATACAAACAATGCTATTTCATCATTTTGGAATTCATCTAATTGTAAGCTAATTCTATCTTTAAGTATCAATTAAATCAATTAAATAAAAATCTTGTCGTTATAAAAGTATCTTGGATTATAACATTCCCTAGGGTTATTGTCACATAATGGAATTAATTTTACGTCAAACGCATATTTTAATACAACAAACGTTCCATCACGTCCACATTACTCATTCAATATCAACTCATCAAAAGAAATAATGTACAATGTAGTAATTATTTTGTTTAATTTCCTTACTTTAAAGACTACATATCGACGCTAGAATGCAAAAACGTAAGAACCTGGAAACCAAAATGGATAGTTATTTAGAGTAGAAAATCTTAATACTTTTCCAGAAAAAATGACAAATTACCGTATAAATTTACTTAGGAACATCTTATTTATTACCATGGACGTTCGTAAGATTTTTTTTTTTTAAATATCTGCTCTGAAGAACAATTTTGGTTTAGCGGGTTACTACGTATTTGCTTTCCAGCGTCGATATGTTAAATTCAAATATTTGCGATGTTCTCGAGCGGTCATTCTGTTGCATTCAATGGATACTGCATCTACGTTGCGGTTGGTGCATTACATAATTTTATGTATAGCATGGTCGAAAAATTTGCCATTCCAGTTTTGCGAGTGGCTGACCGAACGCGACGCAAGGCCGAGAAGGCCCCCACTTTCGTTACGGACATTGCGTATCATACGCAACACTTGTCCGACAACGACAACAATAAATTGTTTTATATTTTAACATTTATGTTAGACAACATTGAAACCCATTTGTATTTATATACTGAACGACCTCGGTGGTAGTTGTATTTCATGTATAATGATATAATCTAAAAAAAAAACTAAATATTTCGCTCACCTAGATATAGTTACAAAAGATGGAAACAACAACAGGTGGGCAGAATGTAATTTTGAATTGAAGATTAGATGTTATAATCTTAAATCGTTTGTAAGTGGTTTAAACATTACCTAGTAATCTAAAATGAAAATAATTATACATAATTTTACCCAACTCTGGTACTAACACACGATCTTGCTGATCAAAATATTTTCTAAGAAAATATTAACTTATATAATATTTCTTTGAATCAATGTAATTTTAATAGACGATGACATTAAGAAATCATAAACCTATTCATCTTAAATCGAAGTCGTTTTCTTCTGAATAGATATTCAAAAGAAAAGCCTTCGATTCTTAATTCTGCTCAATAGATTAATATAAGTGCTATTCAACTTGACTTTAAATTATAATACGCCGCATTTTATATACCATACATATATAACATTCGAAATTAAATAACAACGAACTTAGTACACGTCCAAATTGATTTTAAATAAATATGCGTCTATTACCACTACGGAAAATGTTGTGATCGATCCGCTTTATTTCATTTAATGCGATTGCGGTCGCATTCATCAAACACGTGTGGGATTCCAAACATTTTTAAACAAAACCCATTATGTAATTTACGCAATTGAGGGAGTATGTTACTCAATAAATGTAACCTACTGTTCAATGATTATCATATTATGGCTATTAACAATATTGTGTATATCTATTAGACATACCTATATTTATGATCTTCATTGCACAAGCGAATAATTAACGTTTTTAAAATGTTCTCTTTGATATAATATATAAATTTGATATAATATAATATTTGATTGGAATAAAAGGTTAAAAATTACTTTAATAAAGCCTGTCTGGAGTCTGAGATATTTTTTCGGGTAGGTGGTATTTTTAAGATAATTATAAAGATATTTTTCTTCCAGACCTTGCACTTCTCTCATATTACATTTATTAATTGATCAAGGTTTTTGTTATAATCAGTTCAATTTTCTTTAAGTTTTTATGAAAAACCTTATTACAGCATCATTAATGTTTTATCAGTATTATTTTCTAATTTTATTTTAATAAAGAAAATCTAAAATATACCGGCATAAAAAATATACGACTAGTCTATTAATAGTCATAAAAATATAGTACTAGTCGACCCATCTCTATTTCACAATTAATGTGAAACATTTAAAAATTAACCATCCATAAGAAAGGCCTGAGCCCCTACAGTGGAGACGTAAAAGGGCTGATGACGATGATTTGATGATTTAAAAATTAATATACTATCTTTTTAAATTGTGTGATGCTATTGTACATTTTGATTATACTTAAGAGGCTGAGGACACTGAATGATTTTTAGAAATCGACACGCCCCCTTACATAATTACAGGTGTCTACGCTAGTGTGGGTTAGCTCATTGCACGTTCCTCAGAAGAATAACAAATGCCTATCGGTTCAGCGCCAGCAGATAAACTTTGTACTAATAACAATGACGTTTTATAACCATCAAGTGCTTTGAGTTAGCTGTCTAAAGTGCTTACACAATAGGTGGCGCTGAATTTTTTTAAAAGAAAGGAATAATTTCTTTTTACTCCAGATTTTTATGGGGTTTAGAAAGGACAAGTATGTTTTTTCTTTTTGGGTCGACAAAATAACATGCTACTATTTTGTTTGTTTCATATTTCAGAATTTTATTCAAATTCATTGATATTTTAAAAAATGCTTTGCATTGAATAATGAAAAGA